TATATATATATAATATATATATATTATATATATTATATATATATTATATATATATATTATATATATATATATATATATATATATATATATATAATATATATATATATATATATCATTCGTGAGAAGCTCCCTGTCGAGCGGTGGAAGCGACAGAAAGATTGCCCAAACGGCAGTGAAGCAGCCAGCCAACTGCTGACAAGAAAATCAAACTCATAGGAATGGGAATGCATCCAATCAGCGTCGTCGCTTCGGAAGCCCGAAGGGCGATAGAGCTACCGCCCAAGGCTGTTCGTTTATGTTCGGGTTGAGCTCGACAGTCTTGACCACTGGAGCTCACGAGTCATCCCGGGCACACATGGACAACACGGTGAAGCTAGCCATGCTAGGCAGAGCTAACGTTGCCATGCAGCTCGACGAGGGAAACTGAAGAAACGGAGGACGTTTGGACAGGGAGAACAACAGCAGCTGGGTGCAGAGGTAAGCTGTACATTACATTTCTGTGAACAAGGCAATCAGAATCAGAAATCCTTGGTTGTCCCACAAACCGGGACATTTGTTTAATAACATGTACATTGTTTAATGTGCAATAACTGTAAAAACTCATTTCAACACACATACCTATTATACATATTTAATCATGTAAATGTGTATTTCATGTAAATTTGTACATACATCAATCTGATTCCATTTTACTTGTTACACTTCTGCTGCAGCAAACAAATTTCCCAGCTTTTGGGACAATAAAACATTTCTGATTCTCAATGAGATGTTTTTACATTTGAAGTAAAAACATCTCATTGAGAATCTGAAATGTTTTATTTTCCCAAAAACTGGGAAATATGACATTTGTAAGAGGATACTGATGACATTATTTCCTATGAAAGTGTTTCCTATGTACTTACCTGTTGTTTTTAATTTATCATATGACAGGTTTGTGACACCATCCTGAGCCATACAAAAGAAGCGATTCTCTTTTACCAAGCACCTCGTTACTGCCACTCTGCTACAAAGTGACTTGTTTGTGCAACACACTGCGCAGTTCCCAGATGCAGCACTGGCGACCGCTGTAGAGGCCTACCCCATGCTGAACAAAGCTAAGCTCAGAACAGAGCTATCCCTCATCTATGAGAACCATGAGTTCAGGGCTTGCAATGGTGCACTGACTCTCTTCCAGTTTTTCATGGAGAACAATCTTCAAAGCACGTTCACAGAGACTGTCACTCTTTTGAAGATTCTTGTCACCACACCCATGACCACAGCCGAATCAGAGAGGTGCTTTTCTACTTTAAAGAGGATTAAGACTTTCCTGAGGAACACCATGACACAGGATCGGCTGAATGCTCTTGCCATGCTCTCCATGGAAAAAAAGCTTGTCACAAACATTCCTGACTTCAATAAAAAACTCATCGAGAGCTTTGCCACTCAGAAGGACAAAATTTCTGTACAAATGAGGTATCACACACACACACACACACACACACACACACAAATGCATCCACTTGATCTTTGTATAAAGTTGACCTTGGCACAACACTCCAGAAATATTTAACAGTGTAAATTTCTGGCATTTTGTCTAAGTGGTGTTTACTACCATTACTTTAACAGTGATCTGCTCATAATTTTTCGTGTTCACTCAAATGTTGAAATTAATCAAAATGTTTTTGTTACTTGCCTCTTGCATTGCCTATTTACCATTTATGGTCATGTTATTTTATGTGCAATTTAATGCAGTATTTTTCAACCTTGGTCCGCAAGGAGCGTGCCAATAGTCAGACACACCTGGATTAATCAGTTTGTCCAATGATGTAAGACAGGAAATAAAAGAGCTGTACTTAATTCAGGAAATAGTGAAGTTGTGCACAAAGCTCAGAAAGCACAAGTTTGTTTAAAAATAGAAAATAGCACAGCCCCACCAAAAATATTTATCACCAGCTGCCACTGATGTCGATGGTCGAGCCCATAAGGAGTGTGCACGTACAGCATGTGCGCCTCGTGCACGAGCCTACTATTGAAGCTGCCGTTACGCTTTTGACCTGAGGGGGCAATCGCGAGCATAAAAATTCAAAACTCTGTAAAGTCCCTTTAATGGTGTCTAACAAGAAGTTTACATTAGTCAGCCAATCTAATGTTTGACCAGAAATACAATTATCCCCTTGGACAAAAATAATTATCAACTCACATTTCCATTCTTTCTTTTTTTGCCCATGAGAAGAACTCGCTGAGCTGCTATCGTCTCATCTCTCTCTTTTTTAAATTATTATTATCATTAAATGCTTATTACAATTTCTCGTGAGACAAAAATACATAATGAAAACATACAAGGCATCTTTAGTAACAATAAAAGAAAAACATATAAGAAACTTAAAAAAGAGGCACTTATATCACAAAGTAAAAAACATTGTAACAAGATTAAACATTTTTCTGCAGCATGACAAATGGCTTTTGCAGTTGCATTTGAATTTTTTATCCGAGTCAAAGTGGATAAGAACATATGGAATTCATTTGTGAAACAGTTCATGTTTGGCAGTTGTTTTTCCATTTGCTTTTGTGGATGTGGTATTTACCCATAATAATAACAATGTTCATTAACAATTAATTATTCCCACGTAATTTAGAATTGTAAATAAGAATATCTTCATTTGTAAAACGATCAAGTTCTCTTATTTTATTTTTTAACCAACAATGGACTTCGTCCCAAAACCTCTTACTGACAGGACAGCTGAAAAATAAGTGTTCTGTTCCTTCAGGGCTTTCCTGACATAATTCACAAGGGTCAACTTCAAAACCAAATCTCTTCCTCAGTGTCTCTGCTGATGGATAGTAGTTGTTAAGAATTTTAAATTGCATTTATTTTACTTTGGGCATTATAGGCCATTTTATAAATTTTAATTGTTTTTCTTCAATTTTTGGATTTCCTAGTATTTTTTATTTTAATCTTTCTATCATAATCATGATAGATATATTTTTAAAGGCTCCATTTAAAATTTTATTTTCACATTTTCTTTCTGTGATGTTCAATTCTCCTATTAATAAATTAGGAAGTTTTATTTGAACATTAGAGAAGAGAATTGTGTTTTTTATTGTTTGTATCAAAGTCACTGGTATAGCCTTACATACTTTCTCATATTCCTGAAGAGAACATTGAATGTTATTAAATTTGTATTTAAAATTCTGTAGATGTAATATTTCACCATCTTTATCCATAACATCGTGTACAAAGATAATTCCTTGATCAAACCACTGTTGGTTAAAGAAAGACTTTCAGTTTGAAACAATTACTCGATTATTCCACAAGGGGGCACAATGAGGAGTAAAATTATGGGTAAATACATTCTTCCAATAATGCAATACTTGAAATTCAGATCATTTAAAAGGCAATTTAGTGATTTCAAAGTCACATTTCAAAAGAAAGTTTAGCCCCCCAAACTTCTTGAAGACATTTTTTGGAATATGAAACCAAATTGTATCTGTCTTTATTAGAAACTCTTTCAGCCACTTTGTTTTAAATGTTCCCAGCATTGCTTCAAAATCCACAGATTTCATACCTCCATTTTTATGTTCTTTGACTAACTGGGATTTTTTTATATAATGGGTTTTATTTCTCCATATATATTTGTATATAATAGCGTTAATATTTTTCACTGTTTTTGGAGCGATATAAAGAGATTGACATGGATAGATCAGTTGGGAAAAACCCTCAGACTTGGACAATAATTTTCGCCCAAAAATAAAAAGATCTCTGCTAAGCCATTGGTTCAGAGTTTTTTGTATTTGATCAGTTTTTTCTTTCATATTGATTTCTTCTCTTTGTTTTTTGTTTGCAACTATCTTAACTCCTAGATATTTTATTTCTTTTTTAACAGGAATTGACATTATCTCATTATCTGTGCATTCATACAGTGAAAGTAACTCACATTTTTTTGTGTTCAGACGAAGACCTGATGTTTTCGAAAAAATTGAAATAATTTGTAATGCTTTGTTAACCATAGATTTATCCTTTAGAAAAAAAACAGTGTCATCTGCAAACTGACTTAAACGAAATTCATAATCAAAAAAAATTTATACCCTGAAAATTTGGATGATTTATTACTAGATATGCTAATAGTTGTGTACATAAGATAAACAGTTTGGGGCTGATTGGACATCCTTGTCTTATTCCACAAGTTATATGTATTATTTTTGTTAGTCCTGGGTTTAAGGAAACATAACTGTTAATATCAGTATAGAACATTTTTATCACTGAACAAAATTTTTTTCCAAAACCGAAATATTCTAGGGTGGAAAATGAAAAATTATGTTCTATAGAATCAAAAGCTTTGACATAGTCTATAAATAAAATGAGGCTGTCCGTTTCCAAAATAGACCAATAATCCAGTATATCCAGTACTAATCTCACATTATGTACCGGGTATGCTTCTTCCTTTTATAAACCAGACAGATTATCATCTACTATTTCATCAATTACCGTTTTCAGTCTTTCTGCATATAATAGCGCTAATAATTTATAATCATTGCACAACAGAGTAATTGGCCTCCAGTTGTCTAAGTCTGTTGTATCTTTTCTTGGTTTGGGAAGAAGGGTTATTATTCCAGTTTTCATTGTTGGGGTAAGACATCCTTCATTTATACACTCATTAAATGTACTTATAACAATTCTTGAACATCTTCCCAAAAAAAAAATTTAAGAAATTCCGAGGTCAATCCATCAATACCGGGCGATTTCCCATTTTTCTTTTTATTTGTTTTTTTATTTTATCTTCTCATCTCTGACACCTGTGTCTGCCAAGCTCCGGCTCCGACTGCTTCCAGCCAGCCTGTCTGACTCCCTGAGGGGAGGGGCTGTGACGGTGAGAAGTCCGCGGTGTCTTTTAAAATAAAAGCTCGCGAGTCAAATATTTCAAAATCATTTTTTTTTTCTTCTCCATGTTGTAGTGATACCCATGGTGGCTCTGTCCACAAGGGGGCAGTATTAGATAATCTATTTAAGGGTAGAGGTGAGCACTGATGAGAGAATGATGTACAGCTGGAGAAGGAACACAATAAACATCTTTTGTGAAGAACCTGAAACTTGGTGCATACTTCCAGAAACATTACACATGTTATTGGGGCGGGGGGCAAATGCCCGTATGTCCAATATTGGAGTGGACCAGGGGACACGTCCCACCCGTTCCTACGCCCTGTAGGATTTTAACATTTTTCTACTTCCGGGTTGAGAGGGCTGCGTGCTTCTAGCTACCGGAAGTGTTTGGTGGGAGAACAGATAGGACCGTGATGGCGGAGCTGAACCGGCAGCTTCAGGAATATTTGTCTCAGTCCAAAGGCGGCGGAGCCAAGGCCACCTCTGCGTCCAGCTCCAGCACCACGGTGGACCTGGGCGAACCGGAGCCGTTACCTGGCAGCTGGTTCGGTCGATGGTCCAGTCCGTGGTCTGGGATGAGCTCTAGTCAGAACTCTGGCGGATCCAGTGGTTTCTTGTGGCCGTGGTCGGCCGAACCGGACCCGTGCTTGCCGGGAATGAGCCGCCGGCAGCGGCTGCTTGTGTTCGGGGTGCTCGCTGCTTTCTCCGCGCTGTGCTTCGGGCTGTCGGCTCTCTATGCGCCACTGCTGCTGCTTTATGCGAGGAAGTTTGCGTTACTCTGGTCGCTCGGCTCGCTGTTCGCCATCGCAGCAGCGGCGGTACTACGGGGTCCCAGTAAGCTGGTTGCTGGACTTCCCACGTCCCCCGGAGCTGCGGTGTACCTCTGCGCCCTGGGAGGGACTCTGTACGCGGCTCTGGGCCTCCACAGTACCATCCTCACGGCGCTGGGAGCCGCCGTACAGGTCGCTGTCATCCTCGGGTACGTGGTGTCGTTGCTGCCAGGAGGAAGTGCCGGGATCCGCCTCATGGGAACCGTGGCGGCGTCCGCTATCAAGAGGATCATCAGCGGAAAGACTCTACCGATCTGACCGAGACCAAACAGATGTGATGAAAGTAAACACAAAGTGCTTCCTCGCAGCAGGACCAAAGGAAGAACCTGGCTTAGGACTGGACTAGAGCGTGTGCACGAGCGTGCGTGAATTTGAACCAGCTGGGAAACACTACATGTGTAATCAGCTGAAGTAGGTTCTGGAACTTGTTTCTAACGTTTAAATCAAAGTGATTCTGCATCTCAGACTTTTATTTTGTGATCTCTATAAAATTTCGCTTCTGTCACTTTGTTTTATTAAAGATCTTTTGTGCCAGAACCTGAAAGCGGACTGATCTTATTGTAAACCAGAGCTGGAGGTCTTGATTTTCTAACCGGGAATATGTGGATCAGAACCAGTCACAGGTTGAAGTCTGATCATCCAGAACCTGTCTGTGCCAGCAGCTCCTCCCCTCCTCTGAACAGCAGACCCAGTTTGAAGCTTCAATCTTTATTGTTCCCTCAGTGAGGACGTGAAAACACAAACACTTAGAAATCTGTTACAAAAACCTGCAGACAAGCTGCAATAAAACAAACAGCCACAAGTCTCATAGACGCCCTTCACCTGTTCACTCAGGTGAGCAGGGCCACCAATCAGGCACCCCCACTTAATGTGTCACATGACCTGTGGTCAGTCTGAGTTTTTTTCAGGACCTGGTCACACGTCTAGGAGGTTTTAAGTCTTTAGAACTACCGGCCTCGCCCACCACTTCTTGGTGCTCCTCTGGGTGGCAAGCCTCCTCTCCAGGAACCTGGACCCGGTCCCCCTCCAGGACCCCAGCCACCCCGCCCACCTCGACCAGACGGGGCATAGCTGCCATCATCCCTGTGAGGAGGACGACCTGCTGAGACACAAAGAAAAAAAGCTGCTGAAAGACAATGTCCAGACGACCCAAGTCCAAGTAAAGACTGAAGAATACAAGAAAATGATTTTCAGATGAATAAAAATAAAACCGAACACAGAATAATTTTAATCAAGAAATTTCTGAAAGAAACGTTAATAAACACCCACCTAACACCTGGTGACAGATTGGTTTCTAATTGGTTTGATGTTCTGAAAATGTTTTAGTAAAAAACCACACAGGATTAGACATTTGTATGTTATCTTTCATCTTTAATTCTCTTTTCACCTTTGGTGCAGTTGGGTTAAGGTTTTATATATCCATTCATCCGCCCACCCATGTGTGATTTATCTTTCCAAGCCTCCGTTAGAAGTCGGGGTACCTCTAAACCCGAATCTCACAGAAAACGTCTGGAATCAGCTGAGTTCTCCTGCTGAAGGTAGTTACATCAACAGACCTGCCAACGTTAAAAGTTTTTGAGTACAAAATGCGTGGCGTTCTGTCACAAACATTTGCAACTCCGTTGCTTCTCACGCTGCAATGTCCCCATTCACTGGCTGGAAACATCTTGAATAGTCCAAAGTATCATGTATTTAAATATTAAAGAGTAAAACTCAACCATCTTAGGTGGGTCGAGCTTCCGGCAGAAACGGAGCAAAACAGTAGAAATGAACAGCATGCCTGAGCTCTGTGTGGATTATTCCTGCTCTAATCAGCACACTATTGAAACCAGAGCTCGGGGGATTACTTTTTACAAGTACGTTTGAGAATTTTTGTTGTTTGTATTTGGTAACTATAACTTTGCTGTACTGTATTTGTGTCCACCAGTAGCACCTCCTAGCCAACTAACGTTAGCTACATGCTAACTGCTGCTGTCTCCCTGACAGTTAAGCTAAATGAGATTTTATTAATCATTTATTCCTAAACACTGACTTATATTACAGCTGAAACAAGAATGCTGCTGTAGAAACCAAACAAATCTTCCTGGTATCAGATACATCTCATATCTCTGGCTGGAGAGTTAGCAAGCCAACATGCAGAAGAGACGTTTTCTTGTTCCACCCTTTGAAGAATTTTGGTTCATTATCACCAGAAATGCAGTTTTAGGTTAAAGAAAGATTCTAAGAATATTTAAGGCATAAATAAACTGAAGAGCAGCTAATAACAAGAGGAATGAAGACAATAGCATTGACCTCTTTTGAACAATGTTGTGTAGACGCTAAAATGCAAATCTCATGTTTTGTTTTGTAGCTTTCCCACAAAAGGTGTGAGGAAGGAGGCTTCCTGCAGCTGATTTACTCTGATAATAACTGGGCTGTCAGACTGGGAGACTCAGAGATGGAGTTCTGTTTCGTTCCCTCCTGACTGCCAGTGGCAGTAAACAGAGTGGATGTATCTCCTCGCGCTCTGTGCAGGTCGAGTACTAATGTAAACAAAGTCACGCACGTGACACGTAGCGCACCTGGTCGCGAGTCTATAAATTATGCGTCGATAGCTACGTTCGGGTCTCCTGGGATCTTCTGGCCCGAGAAGTTCCGAGTGACCCCTGTGACTGGCAGTCATCCAGGAACTCACAGAACCATAGTTACACCGTAACTTCCGTTTATTCTTCAGCTTCCTGGTTCTCCTTCAGAGAGTAAGTGTAGCATAAAGCCATCAGCATGTACAAGTACCTATCCTGTTATCAGTCACAAGGCAGAGGGCAATACTTTTCCCCGCATACCTCGTCTTGATGTCATTTCTCACTAATTTGTTTATTTTAGTCACCGTAGTAAGCATCATATCTGGGTGTCCCAGAGTTTTCACAGCATCAGGGGCCACTGATGTCAGCTGAGAACCACAGGTGTGTACTATAAACACTAATATATAATAAACATAACATGCCTGTTTGTTTTTACCAGAGACGTGCAGAACTACATCCAGAAGAGCTGAAGAGAGCCTGTCTGACCTCCCAGGATGCCCAGAGACTCTAACCTCGGCCCGATGATGTGAGTATTTAAACATCATATCATAATGACACACACACACACGCACGCACGCACGCACGCACGCACACACACACACACACACACACACACACACACACACACACTGAATTCAAATGGATGTATGTGAAGTGAACACATACACACACCTCAGAGAGACTATGTTAGCCCCTCCCACACCCACTCATAATACAAAGCAAGTCTTAATGTTGTCCAATTCAACTATTTGAAATTACTGATGCAAACATGTTAAATCTGTTTCTATTCTTTTACAGGAGGCTGTGGTTGGTGGATGACGAGCCTGGCCTAAGAAGACGAGGCTAAACACAGATGTGCAGCACTCATGCTGACGCCACAGCCGTCAGAAGTCATGTTATTGGTTACGTCGGTGGTTCTGAAGAGAAGGCAGCCCCACGTGGCCGATCTCACCTCTCTAACTGCAGAAGAGGAGCTCCAGATAAAAGTTCTACATGCAGTCCTCTTTCAGGGGTTTTAGCTCATGGAAAGCTTCAGTTGCTATTTAAAACATCTCAACACAAGAACCAGATAAAATAGACCAAACAAATAAAATCAACTCCTTCAAGCAGTCAGCCCTTTCCCCTCTCTCCCCCCGTGTCCTGTCTGGCTGTAAAGCAACCAGAACTGATGTCTGAGTATCAAAAACAGTTTTAATCTCACAGGTGAAGCATTATAGATTCAGCTATGATCCCACTAGATATCTAAACTTTATTAGAGATGCTTTTGGCCGTTTTTAATCCCAAAGGACACGGAGATGGAGATGAAAGAGAGCGGGGCAGAGGAAAGGAAGAGATGGAGAGAGTTCACAAAGACACACAAATCCAACAGAACACCACTAATAGTTCTGATGGTGTGTCGTGTTCTTGTCATCCAGACTTTGTTCTAGTTGTTTTCTCACCCTCTGAATTATATTGACACTATATGTGTATGAATTAAACACTTCTATTGTTATCTATAAGAATTATATTATATACTATGTTGTTTATTAAAATGGCTGAGTAGTATTTTCTGCTCCTCTATCATAGTGTGTTTTTATAAATACCTGCCATAGATGTCACACACCTGTTGCATGAACATTTTAAAATTATTTTGATTCTCATTGTTTGACTGATTTTTACTGATTGATTTTTTTTAATAAGTTTTGACTCTAAGCTCTGGACACGAGTCACATACAGGTGCTGGCCAGTAAATTAGAATATCATCAAAAGGTTGAAAATATTTCAGTAATTCCATTCAAAACGTGAAACTTGTACATTATATTCATGCAATGCACACAGACCAATGTATTTCCAATGTTCATTACATTTAAATTTGATATTCATAAGTGACAACTAATGAAAACTCCAAATTTGGTATCTCAAAAAATTAGAATATTCTGAAAAGGCTGAATATAGAAGACACCTGCTGCCACTCTAATCAGCTGATTTACTCAAAACACCTGCAAAGGCCTTTAAAAGGTCCCTCAGTCTTGTTTTGAAGGCACCACAATCATGGGGAAGACTTCTGACTTAACAGCTGTCCAAAAGACAATCATTGACACCTTGCACAAGGAGGGCAAGACACAAAAGGTGATTGCTAAAGAAGCTGGCTGTTCGCAGAGCTCTGTGTCCAAGCACATTAACAGACAGGCGAAGGGACGGAAAAAATGTGGTAGAAAAAAGTGTACAAGCTCTAGGGATAACCGCACCCTGCAGAGAATTGTGACGACAAACCCATTCAAAAATGTGGGGGAGATCCACAAAGAGTGGACTGCAGCTGGAGTCAGCGCTTCAAGAACCACCACGAGGAGACTCATGAAAGACATGGGATTCAGGTGTCGCATTCCGTGTGTCAAGCCACTCTTGAACAAGAAACAGCGCAAGAAGCGTCTCGCCTGGGCCAAGGACAAAAAGGACTGGACTGATGCTGAGTGGTCCAAAGTTATGTTTTCTGATGAAAGCAAGTTCTGCATTTCCTTTGGAAATCAAGGACCCAGAGTCTGGAGGAAGAGCGGAGAAGCACAGAATCCACGTTGCATGAGGTCCAGTGTAAAGTTTCCACTGTCAGTGATGGTGTGGGGTGCCATGTCATCTGCCGGTGTTGGCCCACTCTGTTTCCTGAGGTCCAGGGTCAATGCAGCCGTCTACCAGGAAGTTTTAGAGCACTTCATGCTTCCTGCTGCTGACCAACTTTATGGGGATGCAGACTTCACCTTTCAACAGGACTTGGCACCTGCACACAGTGCCAAAACCACCAGCACCTGGTTCAAGGACCATGGTATCCCTGTCCTTGATTGGCCAGCAAACTCGCCTGACCTTAACCCCATAGAAAATCTATGGGGTATTGTGAAGCGGAGGATGCAATACGCTAGACCCAACAATGCAGAGGAGCTGAAGACGACTATCAGAGCAACCTGGGCTCTCATAACACCTGAGCAGTGCCACAGACTGATCGAGTCCATGCCACGCCGCATTACTGCAGTTATTGAGGCAAAAGGAGCCCCGACTAAGTATTGAGTGCTATACATGCACATTCTTTTCATGTTCATTCTTTTCAGTTGGCCAACATTAGAGAAACAAACATTTTTTCATTGGCCTTTAGAATATTCTAATTTTCTGAGATACCAGATTTGATGTTTTCATTGGTTGTCACCTATAAATATCAAATTTAAATGTAATGAACATTGGAAATACATTGGTCTGTGTGCATTGCATGAATATAATGTACAAGTTTCACGTTTTGAATGGAATTACTGAAATATTTTCAACCTTTTGATGATATTCTAATTTACTGGCCAGCACCTGTATGTCCCCACAGCAAACCCACTATTACTAAAAACACAAACATGTGTCCTGTATCAGAGCTGCATGTGTGAAGTCTGCAGAGGGGAAAAAAAATAAAATAAATAAAAATAAAACGCATCAAAATCGGTTCTGAATTCAAGGAGTTATGGTTGATCCAACACACTTCAATGCCCCTGTCAGGGCGGGGGGTGGGTGGGTGAGGGGTGGCGCTCGACCGATCCAAGATGGCCGTGCCACCACTCGTCAGCGGTCGTAGCGGTCACACGGGGTCTATCTATGTCTATGCTGGCTCCCGTGTGAGGCTGTGGTCAAGCTGGTCGCCTGTGGAGATCTAATTTGGACTGGGACTTAAATTACAAGCAGAGCCAAACCGCTGCGACCGGGAGCACTGGCCTTCCAGATCAGGTCATTCTCCATGGACGGAGATCAGCGAGACATTAGCTACATGCTAACCTGAAGCTAACAGAGTTTTCAGCAAGAAAAACGCAGTAGAGTGACAACGTTGGAGTCGTTTTACTGCAGATTTTCTTACTTTTGCTGCCAGCCCCTAGTGGATGAGGGTGGAACTGCAATTTTAGCCACTTCTTGGCTTCAAAAAATAAACACCATAATGGCCCCTTGGTGCTAAAACATCCACATCCCCCATGGGTGCGGCGACTAGGCTGGCACCGGTCCGCTGACACAGAGAGGGAGAGTTTACCTTTTTAAAAGCAAAAACAGCAGCGAGTGGGAACCGGAGGATGGAGAGAGAGGCAGCGGGCATGAGGATTGAGCAGGGAGGAGGGATCGGGGGTGTTATGCTATAGGTTAGGCAGAATTGTTTTTCTACGATGATTGGCTTAAACTTCACCACGCTGCGGAGTCGTGTTGTCAGACATGAGTACCACACGTGCACTTTTGCTACAGAACTCAGGTGTCCACAGCTTTTTGCGTAGTTTAGAGGGGTGAGTCGAACCAGCGTAATTAGATGTCAAATTGCGTACTTGCTACGCAATATGCGTACAGGTTGGCAGGTCTGCATCAATGACCTGAGGGCGTTCATTTAAGAATAGTGGACCATCATATCTCAGCAGACGAGTTAACAAGACAAGTCATGGTCCAACTAGAATTGGTCTCAACGACAAGTCATTGACAGGTCTTCTTTTACCAAGTCAAATGTTCCATGTTCCCGATTCCAATCACCAAAACATTTTACATCTGACGATCCCACATTTGGAGAAGGTGTGTTTTGAGTTCACCTCCGTCAGCAGCAGAGGATTCCCGTTCCCGAGGTTCTCCCGTTCCTGGTCCATCCTGCCACGGACGCTTCCGGGGTGGCAGAGATGACATGTCCATTCCCTGCAAGGACGACGGACGCTCACGGCCACCTGAGGATGAGCCATCATCACGGTAACCCTCATGACCTAGGGACAAGAATAGACAAACCAGTACAATAAGAGACAGGAAGGGGCACCTGGCGGCTCTGGCCAGTGTTCTGTCAAAGCATCATACATTGTCTAATTGTCATACACATTTTACAGCGTATGCCAGTCTGACAAACCACATATGTCTGGCATTGTTTTAACCCTACCCTGTACCCTAACTCTTACCCTAACCCCAGCGACACCACACTATGTGCCCTGATACAATAAAAGTTCTTTACATTCCCTCCTATTTCAGTAAAACAGATATAAAACCCTAAAGATGGAGCAGTTCTGCTTACAGTTGGACTAAAATCATAACCCCTTACTCCCTTAATCAAAATCTGGCCCCTCCCCATTCCAAAGATTATTTGTATGGCTCCACCTCCTCCTCTTGGTGGACCTCCTCCTCGCGGTGGCCTTCCTCGTCCCCCAGTGTCCCAGCCTCGGCCCATGTCCTCAGGCCCATCGTATCCTTCTTCCTGACTGCTAAAGTCATCAGCATAGCCCCGCCCTCCAGATCTGCTGGACCCGCCTCCTCTGAACCTGGAAATTCGCAAATAAGATGAGAACATGTAAAACTACTAAAATAAAACTATCTACGCTGAAAACCTAGGGGCATCACCTGTCATCCCTCCTTCCTCTGAAGTCAGCTCCACTGAATCGCTCATCGGGACCCCACTTTCCTCCTCCTCCTCGGTGCCCTCCACCTCTGTGTCCCCCACCCTGATATCCAGGACCAGGTCCTGGTCTCCAGCCATCCTCTCCTTGGCTATGAAAATCCTGTCCTCCATCAAAGTCCTGTGGGCCTCGTCGTCCCTGCTGGTTATCCCCCCAATAAGAACCTGAAACCTGGTCAGGTCCTCCGGCACCCTGCCGGTCAGGAGGACCCATGTGGTGGTTAGGCGGTGGCCCCCGAGGGTCTCCTGGATAAGAACAAAATAAGTCAGAGACATCTCAAACAAACTCCTGGGGTCCCTGCTTGGCCACAAGAGACATAGTAGTGGAAACCATAAACCAGGAACTGCAACAGGGGCCTGTGGGACACCACATGAACTTACCTAGGTTGTTGGGGCCCTGTGGACCCATACCATGAATCATGGGCCCAGAGTTCTGACCCTGCAGAGACCAAAAAAATAGTTAGCCCATCTGAAACCTGCTGTGACTCGTGGTTCAGAACCAGCTGACGCAGACCCACTCCCACCTGATGCTGCATGTACGGGGGCCCCTGCATATTTCCGAGGGGGGCCTGCATTCCTCCAGGTGGCCCCTGCATATTGCCCATCCCATAGTTGTTTGCCATGTTACTGTGAGTCCTAGGTGGGGGGCCCATCATCCCACCCTGCATGGGACCCTGCTGCCCCATCATGCTTCCTTGAGGTGGCATCATTCCTCCCTGAGGTGGGGGTCCTTGAGGGTCCCTTGGACCCATTCCACGAGGAGGGGGGCCTATCATCCCTCCTGCGGGGCCCTGCATTCCCCTGGGTCCCATAACATGATGACCCTGAGGGCCCATGTTTCTAGGGGGTCCAGAATGTCGCTGTGGTTCTTGCATTTCTGATGGTCCCATCATGCCATGAGGGGGGCCCTGATGAGAGAGAGGTCCAGAGAGGGGACCCATTTGTCCAGCTGGAATAAAAGAGGGCTGCATCCCTCCAGGACCCATGGGGGGGCCCATGTTGTTAGGCATCTGTTGAGGAGGCATGTTTTGGGCAAAGCCTTGTTGACCAGGAGGCCCTGGTCCTCCAGGTCCACCTAGACCACTAGAAGCCCCAGGACCTGAATAGGGGGCCATGGATCCCGGCCCCTGCAGAGGGCCCATGTTCCCATCAGCGTTCATCTGTTTCATCTTCATTTGCTGCAGGGACAGAATCAGATCCTAACTTAGTATAGGTGGTATCAGAGATTAGCTGACTGGGATGTTGTGCTATTTATTTATTACCTCCAGTAGCTGGGGGTTAGTGTACTGAAGCGCTGCCATTTCCTGCTCCAGCGCTACCTGTGTTTTCTTCTTCATGTCCAACTTCTGCTCCATGTGTCGCTCTTTGTCTGCAGACAAAGGCATCATCGGAACTTTGTTCTCCGCCCAGGCCTGCAAACAGACACCATTGGTCAGAACAAATAATTGGACATAGGGAGCCTACTTATGGTAAATGGGTCCCCTACTGTCAAAATAATGAAATGGAGTCAAAGGGCCCATTAGTTATTTTCTAATCCCATTTAAAATGTGCCATTGAGGTAACATATGATGTCTGTGCATTTTAGACACATTTTGATGCCATGAAGGTGCCTATTTATTTAATTTAAGTTATGTGTGTATTAGCCAGAAACTGGGAAAGTGGGTGTCCCACAGGAAAGAGTTGGAGACCCTCCTGGGGGAGGGTATGACAGTTTTTCATAATGTTAAGCAATTTTGTCATAGATGAACAAATACTTCTAAAAGATATAGAATGCCATTTAAAGAGCTTTTAACGTTCAAAAGTTGCAACACAAAAACACAAAAACTCTCATAAAATGAAAAAAGCTAAAGATATTTTAAATAAAATACAAGCTAGATGTGGTGTAAGTTTTGACTCTTGATAAGTATTCTCCTGAGTGAGGCCAACCAAATGTATTTTAGATCCAGTTTCTACTTTATTTTTCAAGTCATTTTATGGATATATTAGAGATGAGATTTTAACGATGATAAACTGCCCTCTTCAGACGGGGACTTTCCTTAAAGGGGCCGTGGTGAGGCCTCTGCTGAATAAGACTAACTTAGATTTTACAGATTTTAACATCTTCGGACCAATATCTAACTTACCATTTTTAATTACAATTTTAGAAAAGCTTGTTTTTATCCAACTCAATTATTTTATTAATGCACATAATATCCTTGAGAAATTTCAGTCTGGTTTTAGAGAAAACAACAGCTTTTATAAGAGATTTAAATGATTTGAGACTATATTATGATGCACAGATGGTGATAGTCCTGGTTCTACTGGATCTAAGCGCTGGCTTTGATACAGTAAACCACAACATTCTTTTAACCCGATTAAAGAGCTCACATCATAAAAAATCTACTTTTTGGAGCTTTTTACCATGTGATTTTGTTATATTTCCTCATGGGAAAAAATACCGGTAAATAAACGTTTTTGGATGCATCCATGCATTTTCATGTTTCAGCTGCAAATTTGGAGTTTTACTTTGAAAATCTTGTAAAGCATCAATGGAAACTAGTCTCGTCATCAGGTCCTGCTCCTCTCCAAGAAGCTAGTCTCCTGGACTAACTGAAACCTGTCTCCATTGGCCAGCACATGATATTTGGCTTAGGCAACTGGTGTCATGTAGTAGACTTGATAGTACAGTGGTAAGCGCGCTGGGCTGGATGCCTTAACCACTGAACTACACAGCCAACACAGAAACAGACCTGCCTAGGACGCTGTTTAAGGCATGTTTTGTCGGAGCGGGTGTGGGCAGAGTTCCACTGAAGCAAAGCGATTCATTTCCAGGTATAAATATAGGCTGACGGAAATAACTCTTATTTAAGATAAATTACATCTCAATAGAGCCAACGGCTATATTTTATCATATACTGTGCCCACCTTTGCTCTCAAAGGTTTAAAGGGGCAGCAGTAGCTCAACAGGTTTAGCGGGTTGACCAGGAAGGTTGCAGGTTCGATCTCGGCTCCGGACAGAGTATTCTGTTGTTGTGTCCTTGGGCAAGAGGGTGGTCAGACTGGTGGAACCTGTGCAGCCTTGCCTCTGTCAGTGCGCCCCAGGGCAGCTGTGGCTACATTGTAGCGTACCACCACCAGTGTGTGAATGGATGTGTGAATGGATGAATGATACACTGTAGTGAAAAGCGCTTTGGAGTCCTCTGACTCTGAAAGGCACTATACAAGTGCGGGTCATTTATCATCATCATCATTTAAAATAGCATGATCTGGAACATTTAAAACTCATTGGCCTGTCTATGAATTATTTATGTCTTATCTCACAGACAGGACTTTAATTGGTAAGTTTAGATACCTGTTGTTCTAAGGCTTGTGAAATTACATGTGGTGTGCCTAGGGTTCAATGTTAGCTGGGTTTAATCTTACCTGTCTGACAGATTTCATTTCGTTAATGTACATGACAAACCTTCATCCTCCAGGTATACTTGTGGAGTACCACAGGGTTCAGTGCTTGGACAAATTCTTTTTACTATATATATGCTTCCAATTAGGGTTGTCATGGTGGGAAAATTTAACCTCACGGTTATTGTGACCAAAATTACCACGGTTTTTTGTATTATCGCGGTATTTTTTTTAAACGTGCTACATTTTCACACAATTAAATAAACCCTGCATGTCAGGAAATATTTTCCTCAGTTTGTGTCTAAATTTAGCCTAAAATGTGTTATTTTGTAATTATGTTGTTTATTTGTTTACATTTTTCCCCTTTAGTCTTTAAAATACCAATATTTGCCCATAACTTCTTATTTTTTGTCTGTTTGATGTCATTTAAAAATATTAGATCAGATGATACTCAGTACTCAAGTAGCATTCTAATCAGATACTTTTTTACTCTTACTTGAGTAATAAACCTTATATCAGGAAAATATTGTCCTCGGTTTGTGTTCCAGTGAGCTTTGCAGATTTGGGAAAATGTCATAAATTTATAATTAATCTCGGAGAGAGACCAACTCTTATCTGCCCCTGGGAGCCCCATAATGCATAGCGTCATGTCAACATGGGGGTGTCCGCGACATGGTTTATATGCAGGTAGCGGCGCTGCGGCTGCTTTATATAGCGACTCGTTGCATTCTCCCTCAACCTAAATCCTCGGATCACGCATTTTAGCTAAAACGCTAACGTTAGCTTGCCTTGCGTTGACTGTAGAGTTGTGGGTGATGGTCACGCAGATGTGTCATGAGATTTGAAGCGTTGCTGCCTTTCACAGGCACTTTTTCTGCATGTGCTGCAAACAGGATAGCCGTCTTCTATCAACTGTCCCTCGGCATTCTTCAAATATCCAAAATATGCCCGTACTTCCCACTTTGTCTTCTTTGAGGGATAATAAATGTCCTGAGCACTGCCGTCTCCTCCTTTGGCCATTATTTCAGCTTTAGCTTCAAGAAAATTTTGGTTGTATACAACAAAGCGCACATGTGCCGCCGGCAACTTCAGCAGATGGTACGGTGGCTGGTAAGAGTCACCGCGCCTACACCGCAGCCACGGTAACCCACCGAGATAATCGTTTTTTTTTAAAAACAAGACGGTTATTATTATTGTCAACTTTTTTACCGGGGTTTACCGCTACACCAGTTACCGTGACAACCCTACTTCCAACTGGTAAAATCATAAGACAGCATGGGATAAACTTCCACTGTTATGCTGACAATACTCAGTTATATTTATCCATTAACCCTGATGAACCTAATCGGTTAGTTCGATTACAGGCTTGTCTTGAAGACAAAAAAAATTTGATGACTCTAAACTTTCTGCTTGTAAATCAAGACAAGACTTAAGTTTTCATCTTTGGACCAGAATTTCAGAAAAGGAAACTGCTTAGTCAATCACCTGACCAGAATGGCATTAAATTAGTCTATGAAAACAAAGTAAGGAACTTTAGTGTTATCTTTGACCAGGACATGTCATCCAAATCCCACGTTAAACAGGTTTGTAGGATTTCCTTCTTCCACCTTCGGAATATTGCTAAGATTAGAAGCATCCTTTCCAGAAGTGATGCTGAAAAAGTAGTTCATGCATTTTTTACATCAAGACTGGATTACTGTAATCCATTACTCTCAGGAAGTCCACAGAATTACATTTTTGGTTCTTTTTTGAAACACAGAGAAAAGGTTTCTCTTTACCTTGCTGACAGTTTAGTTTGCGGCTGCAAACAGCCTCAGAGCTGATGCCAACGGTGGCGTCACTTTCTACTCCGTTTATCTGCGGGCAGCAGAGGACGTTGTTGCCCTCTGCTGCCCGCTCTCCCCTCTCCGACGATGCAGTCCCATGCGCGATCCAATGTGTAAACCCCATCGTCTCTGTTCATAGTCCCACATCCACGTCTCCTAATCTCTATAGCTTCCTTTATCCATCTTTTGTATTTCTGTTGTTCGGTGTTTATGATCCTTGTGTTGTCCCAGTCCATTACATGGTTTTCTCTTGTACAGTGATCTGTTACGGCTGACTTCTTTATTGTACTTTCTGCTTCTTGTTTTGCTGCTCTTGTGCATCTTCGACTTGTTTCTTTCTCGCACTCCTTTCAATGTTCTATTGTTTGTGTGTTGAGTTGGCGTCCGGTTTCTCCTATGTATGTTTTATTGCAGAGGTTGCATGGGATTTCATAAATGACTCCACATTTATGTCCAGCTGGTAACTTGTCTTTTGGGTGTACTAGTCTTTTTCTAACTGTTGTGTATGATTTTGTTGGTGTTTTTATGTTGTGTTTTTTCATTGCTGCTCTTATTTTTTCTGTTATGCCTTTGATGTATGGTAGGGTTATCACTGGTGTCGGTTCTTGTCTTTCTGGGTTTCTGGTTCTTTGCTGTGGTTGTTCTTTTCTTTCTTGTTGTTTGCTGTTTTCCTTTGTTTATCGCCCATGTTGGGTGTCGGCAGGTCTTTAAAGCATGTTGTATGTGTTTGTCCTCTTGTTTACGGTCTCTTTCTTCTGTTATCATGTTTGCTCGGTGATATAATGTTCTGATTACTGACATTTTGTGTATGGTAGGGTGTTCTGATGTCCATAATAACTATTGGTCTGTGTGCGTGTTGGTTTTCTATATGTGTTTATGTTTAGGGTCCCGTCGGTCTGCCAGGTTATTTTCATGTCCATAAATGCTATACAGTGATCCCTCGCTACTTCTCGGTCCGTTTATCGCAGATTCACGACTTCGCGGATTTTTTCTTTGGAGCCGTATTCAAGGGAAATTCACCGATTCACGTTATTTTTCACAGATTTGCGGTGTTTTTCTATGTGAAATATCAAGAAATTCCTGTTTTTTTTTCATCAATTTCATCATAAAATGCACTTTTTGTAATAAAACTATAAACAAACCAAGTAAATTTTTTTTTCTTTGTAAAGGGAGGGTTTTAAAAGTCTGAATACTGAATACGTACCTGTTAAATAAATACTGTAAATATGGTGTCCCTACTTCGCTGATTTTCATCTATCGCAGCCAGGTCTGAAACGCATCTACCGCAATAAACGAGGGATCACCTGTACTGCGTTCTGTCTCTGACTCATATGTGAACTCTATGTTGCCTGTGTCCTCAATGTTATTCAAGTGCTGTGTTAGTGTTTCTGTTTGTCCTTTTGGTATGATTTCCAGTCTGTCATCTACGTAGCGTTTCCATAGTTTTTTTTTGCAGTTTGGGGGGGCAGTGGCTATTGCTTTTTGTTCTAGGTCTTTCATGAAAAACTCGCACAGGGTTGCTGATAACGGGTTACCCATGGCGAAGCCTTCCAGTTGTTTGTATATTGTGTCATCGTATGTGAAGTAAGTGGAGTTAGCTACCAGTCCTATCAGTTGTGCTATGTCATCTGCTGTGAGGTTTGTTCTTTTGTGTGAAGTTTTGTCCTGTCTGATTCTGTTAACAACTACGTCTATGGTTTTTTGGGTTGGTGTTTTTGTGAACAGGGATGTGACGTCATGTGAGATGAGTATGTCGTTGTCCTCTATTGTAATATTTTTTAGTATTTTTACCAGTTCTATGCTATTTTTGCAGTGTTGATCTGTGTTACCTAATAACGGACTGATGATTTTGCTGATTTCTTTTGCAATGTTGTATGTTGGTGTACCTATGTTGTCTACTATTGGTCTAAGTGGGGTGTTTCGTTTGTGTATTTTTGGAGTTCCGTAGATTCTTGGTATTATGTTTGCTGTAGGGATCCAGTGTTTGTACTTTTTTTTCGGTTATTTTGCCTTTTTCTTGTAGTGGCTTCAGTAATTTTTTCATGTTTTTCTTAATGTTTTCTGTTGGGTCTTTTTTAAGTATTTTGTATGTATTTTTGTCCTCTAGCATCTGTTTCATCTGTTGTTTAAAATTTTCTTTGTCCATTACTACTGTGGTTCTTCCTTTGTCTGCCGGTAGAATAATTATCTGTTCAATGGAATAGGAAGTGACACCACCATCAGCGTCAGCTCTGAGGATGTTTGCAGCCGCAAACGAAACTGTCAGCAAGGTAAAGAGAAACCTTTTCTGTGTTTCAAAAAATAACCAAAAATGGAATTAGAAGTCAAACACAGCAAGAACGTACCAAAGAAGTCCACAGAATGTAGTTAAGTCTTCAGCTTGCCCAAAATGCTGCAGCTAGAGTTTTGATGAGAATTTAAAAGAGAGATCATCTCTCTCCTGTCTTGGCTTCCCTACGTGCGCTGCCTGTTCAATTCAGAATATAATTTAAGATCCTCCTTCTCTCATATAAAGTCTTAATAATTAAGCCCTAACCCCAAAACCCACTCATCTTATTTTGACTAGGATGAGTGTTATTAATAAAAACCTAAAATGTTACTGAAATGTAGGTCAAATATTCAAAAATATTTTTAACTATAAATATCAGATGGGAAAAAGGGGAACTAAACACCAATCTAATGCATATTATTGAGCCTTTTATAATATTTTGTCTTTAAAAAAGTGAGACAGTTGAATGCACAGAGTATGCATGTGCTGGTGCATGGTCAGGATGGTACCACCTCTGCCTTAAATTGAGCCAGGAAAACCCCTGCTCTACTACTTTCTTCTACAATCTGCTCTTTAACTGCATTATTTCCTGCTATTTCAGCTGTTAACTTTATTTGTTCTCTAAGTGTTTTTCTCCCCAGAAGATGCTACAATGATGCTCTGCTGAGCTGTGGTGGCCTCATGGAGCGGGCCATCGGCTTGAACACTGTTGTTAACCATTTAAACATTCTCCCTCTCCTGATAATAACATTTTACTCTCCTTGACAATGAATGTGCTACTACTAGTTTACCTATTGATATTCACAAATGTATCACAATGTAGCTATTGACACACTACTTGGTATATGTTGTGTGTGTGTGTGTGTGTGTGTGTGTGTGTGTGTGTGTGTGTGTGTGTGTGTGTGTGTGTATCTGTATCTGCGTCTGCTCTGTCTTCTCCATCTAAAGTGAGTTGTGGTGGATGGCTGCTTATGCTGAGCCAGGATCCTCTGGAGGTTTCTTCCTGCTAAAAGGGAGTTTTCCTCTCCACTGTCGCTGCATGCTTGCTTAGAATGAGGACAGGGAGCCTAAGTCACGCCCATCTACTTCCGGACCATGGGTCCCCAGAAGAATGAAAACGTGAATGCAAGTCAAAGGGGCTATAAACTCTCTTCTGTTTTCGCTTGTTTTGTTCCATGGATTTCACACATGATGTCCGTGAATTTTAAAGACACATTTTGATACCAAGAACGAGCTTATTTTCTAACAGGGGGAAATGCTATTTTAGGTTTTGTGTGAAAATAAGTCCAGGACTACAAACGCGCTCCATCGCACCAGACACGGATAAAACTGAGGGAAAAGGGCTATAAGTTCAGCAAACTTCCCACAGGAGAAAAGTACCACCATAAATCTGGTCATGTGGTAAGCAGCATCTACGCTTGGGGGGGGGGGAGCTTATGTGGTGACGTCACATATGTGACGTGCCGATTTCTGGTGTGTAGTCATGCTAATTACGAACTTTTACAAGCTAATAAATCTCAAAGTACGTGACTGGCATGGTCGAAACACCCATCATTACTTTTCATTTAAATTGCAGCACAACATGTGTGTGATCCAGGGCATAAGGCAAAGCGGGTTAGAAAATAGAGTTTTTAGTCCCGTCGACTTGCTTTCATTTTTTTGTTCTTCCGGGTACCCGTGAGCCGGAAGTAGACGGGTGTGACTTAGGTTCCCTATTGCTGTAAAGACTCTGACACTAGTCTGTGACTCGATGCAACCTGCTGGGTTCCTTATATAGGAATTTTTTTTCTGATTGGCTTAATGACTTGACCTGTATTGGAATGTTTACTGTGTGAACGTCCTTGAGACAACTCTGGTCCTGATTTGGCGCTTTATAAATAAACAAACTGAATTAAATGGCATGAATTTTCTTATATATCAATTCAACCCTGTTTTAACCTGTGTTACAATGAAACAGTGTTCCCCCTAGAAATCTTTCCAGCCGTGGTGCAGCACTAAAATTCCCCATCTGAATCCTCCCATTAGTGTGATCTTCAAGGAAAGCCAGACCATCCATGGTGGAGCTTTATGCACAAGTGTCACTGCAGTATTTATGTCTACTAGTGATCCCACTGATTAACACACAGCTGATGACCATTGTGTACAGGAGGCTCAGTTCTGACATTGAGCCCTAGAGCAGCTGCGGCAGTGATATAGCTCATCACCACCAGAATGTGTGTGTGTGAATGACTGGCCATTTTCCATTCTGTCTTCCCGACTCCAGATTGTGCTTACACCAGAGTTTTGTGTAAACCTGCGCACATTTGCCCATCACATTTATCTTCTTCAAATGACAAAGTTTTTGTAGATAGTTACTTAAGCAAATTTCAAACTCCATTTTGTCCATAAGCAGGATTTATAAATGAGGCCCCTGATGATTAGAAACATTGATTTGTCCACATGGGGGGCTTTCTGAAAGCTCAAATTGGTTCCAAATACACTATGTACACTTTATTTCTTTTTCCTCCTCCAACCCCCTGTAAACAGGGTGTCCTGACTTGGGCTGGTCACCAACTCTGACTCTGAAGTCACATGACCTCAGCATAATATGGCCAGCTGTGGGTGCTTACCTGCTGGAATTGAGCTGGGATGGGTTTGGCGTACGGGACCTTCTTTTGAGGAACTTTCTTAGCGTCTTTGCCCATCACCTCGTCCATCCCCCAGTCCAGCCCGGGAATGGACATCTCCACATCTGGAGCCAGCTCCTTATCTGCAAAGGGTAGACATACACCTGAATATAATAGAATAGACTTTATTGATCCCACAGTGGGGAAATTCACTTGTTACAGCAAAACCAACACTTACGGAATAATTCAAAGAATAATAATAACAAAGGTACATGTATATACACATAGGCAGTAAGCTATAATTGTAACCTTTGACCATTAAAAACCACGAATAAAAATGAAACTTGGGTTCTAAAACAATGCTGCATACTGTAAGGCAGTGTTTCCACAACTCTGGTCCTCAGGTCACACTGACCTGCATGTTTTCCACGTCTCTGCTTCAGCACACCTGATTTGCATTGCCTCCTCAGGAGAACATTAAACGTTGCAGATCCTTGTTAATTACTCATTCATTTAAATCAGGTGTGTGGTGGCAGGGAAAAGCTGGTGTTTAAAAGGCCAACAAGCAAAACATGAAGGACAGTGTGCCTTGAGGATCAGGGTTGGGAAACACTGATGTAAAGGACACAGACATACAATGTTAACCTGGTATTGCACAAACATTATGAATATTGCATTGGTGTTTTTGTGTACTGGGATAATGCCAGTACAGCTTAAACTGAGGAGTCATACACTCTTACAGCAGAGGGAATGAAAGATGTATGGTAGCCTTCTGTTTTATACCTGAGATTTCTCAGGCCTGAGTTAGGCCAGGCGTACACTGCAAGTTTTAGACTTTTTTGAGACGATTTTCCACTCAAGCGAGAATCTACAAGATCGGGGCGAGTTTTGCGCTGAGCATTGCTTAATATACAGGTGGTAACAAAAGGTGATTAACACCATGTGACCAGCTACCAATCAGCAATCACAAGCTCCCACGGATTTCTGGCATGTTTGATATTTTGCTCATGAGGCTATCGCACTCTTGCAAGCAGTGCTGCGAGTGGCTGCATCCCAAAGACGACCATAACCGCTCACGGCGCATGCAAAACTAGCTAGAAGTACCAATAACGTAGATGATTGGAGTTTTTACAAAAAACTAAGGAATATGTGCATGACTAAAACTAGAAATGCCAAGTCATAGTATTACAGAAACATTCTATAAAGAATGATTTTAATAATCCTAAGCAATTTTGGAACAGCGTTAATAAGCTTAGAGGCAAGTCTGATAGGAAACCTAATAATGTGAGATTCAATGGAGAGCTCATTAACGTACCGGCGGAGATTGCTGAAGGTTTTAGTGTTAATTTAGCGAAAACTCCAGAATTTAAGTCCAGTGTACTAGATCAAGTATTGCACCATTAACTATTTCTAGCAGTTTCTCTTTTTCACAAATTTCAGTCAACGATTTTTTGCACGCGATTCATGCACTACCCTCATCTGGTGCTCCAGGTCCTGATGGGATCGACTGCAAATGAATTAAGATGGCAGCATATGAACTTACCCTTCCATTAGCCATGCTTATTAATCTCATTTAACATTTGCTCAGTCCCTGCTCTATGAAAAGTTTCAAAAATACTTCCATTATTTAAGGGAGGTGATGCTTGTGAGCCAAATAATTCTAGGCCCATAGCTTTAATAAATACAGTCGTTAAAGTTTTTGAAAAGATAGTATTCAGTCAACTTTATAGCCATCTCTAGGACAACAACATACAGGTCCTTCTCAAAAAATTAGCATATTGTGATAAAGTTAATTATTGTCTGTAATGTACTGATAAACATTAGACATTCATATATATTAGACTCATTGCACACAACTGAAGTAGTTCAAGCCTTTAATTGTTTCTATTATTGATGATTTTGGCATACAGCTCATGAAAACCCAAAATTCCTATCTCAAAATATTAGCATATTTCATATGACCAATAAAAGAAAAGTGTTTTTAATACAAAAAAAGTCAACCTTCAAATAATTATGTTCAGTTATGCACTCAATACTTGGTCGGGAATCCTTTTGCAGAAATGACTGCTTCAATGTGGCGTGGCATGGAGGCAATCAGCATGTGGCACTGCTGAGGTGTTCTGGAGGCCCAGGATTAGGGCTGAAACGATTCGAGTACCTCGAATAATTCGAGTACAAAAAACCCTCGAGTCAAATTCTCTGCCTCGAGGCTTAATTTGATTCATGTTTAATTAATGCACGGCTTTGCAATCGTCCGGGGTCATGTTTCACCCGGACCGAAATAAGTGACGCACATACACACTGCACAAAATGCACATGCGAGTAGTGAATGTAACTTCACTTTCTCTTAAGCCATGGTGACAACGTGGACCCTGGTGGAGTGCGAAAAAGACATAAAATTTCAAAGGTGTGGGACCATTTTTCACTTCGTAAGGCGGAAAACGTAGTCCAGTGTAAATACTGTAAAATGGATTTAGCCTACCTGATGGATATAACTGATTTTGACATCACAGGGTTATTGATGTAACAGTGTAGGTGTTTGTTTAAACGGAGGGTCATCACTTTGATCACATTTTAGAGTGGTGAAGAAAGACCTCTTTGATCACATCTGTAACTTCCTGAGACAAGATGAAGGTCCAACAAACTGTTGATTAGGTTACCCCGATCAGCTGGTTTTGAAGAATTGTGTGTGTGGGTTTGGTCCAATAATCTGTTGATTAGGTTACCCCGGTCAGCTGATTCTGAAGAATTGTGTAAACTTCTGGGTGTGTCTTCCTAAATAAAAGGAGCTCTAAGGCTTTGCCTAATTGTGTGAGCAAACTGCCGTTGTGTCTGGTGTGTTTGATTCTCTCACCCTCTGCAAAGTATTTTCCCTTTGCAGAGTATTTTGATGTTGTATGTTTAAGGGTTGTTTACAAATTACCAAATTATGAATCTAATCCCTCTGGGTGTGCTTAGAATTTCTTAGAGGTAATATGGGAGTAATATAGAAATTACCCAACACTAGCACAACACCACATCCTCGATGCTGCAGCACCTGACATCCACATGTAAATGTCACTTCTGCAAGCGGACTCGGAGCCTCTACAAGATAATGCATTTTAGCCTGTATTTCTATATATTCTGCGGACACTGTGCGACTTTTTCATTTGTAGTACTCAGTTTCAGCTCACACGGTGCATCTGGTAGCAAGACGTCAGACCTAAAAATGTGCTAAAAATAGCAGTTTTTACACAACACGTTGGATTTTTTATTGTGTTGTAATTGATGTCTGTTGTCCCTTGGGATTGCTGCAGGACACAGGTATTTATGAGTGGCGGAGGAAAACGAAAGAAAGTAAATAAATGTTTTGTGATCAGTATAATTTGACATAACCACGGCAAACATGCTTTCTCGACAATCCTTGTTATTGTGTGAGAAAAAAAGTGCTGAAATTAAAACGGACGTGTGTTAATAGGGAAATAGCTGTTGACGCATGTGCCTGGGCAGTTGTGGTGCCGTTTGGGCCGCAGCCACTCGCAGCACTACTTCAACAGTTTTCTTCCTCCTAGTTTTAGTCTTGCTTGCCAGGCTAGTAGATTCTCGCACGAGGGGAAAATCGGCTCAGATTGTACACTTATTTTTTGCACAGGCATTTGTTTACTGTGAAGTAAAGATGAAGTGCTGAAGTTTTGAAAACTAATTTTGAATAAAACTTGAAGAATAACTGGCAATTGCGTGCTCATTTTAAGAAGTCTTTCATATTTTATAACATGCTATTTGATATAATGGTTTACAAACACAAAAGGGTAATTTGTTAGAGTACTCGATTAATCAATAAAAGATTAGATAGAGTACTCGATTACAAAAATATTCGATAGCTGCAGCCCTACCCAGGATGCGTCTATAGCAGCCTTAAGCTCATCCAGAGTGTTGAGTCTGGGGTGTCTCAACTTTCTCTTCACAATATCCCACAGATTCTCTATGGGGTTCAGGTCAGGAGAGTTGGCAGGCCAATTGAGCACAGTAATACCATGGTCAGTGGTTTTGGCACTGTGAGCAGGTGCCAGGCTGTGCTGAAAAATGAAATCTTCATCTCCATAATGCTTTTCAGCAGATGGAAGCATGAAGTGCTCCAAAATCTCCTGATAGCTAGCTGCATTGACCCTGCCCTTGATAAAACACAGTGGACCAACACCAGCAGCTGACATGGCACCCCAGACCATCACTGACTGTGGGTACTTGACATTTCCCTCTGCCCAGCCTTCCTCCAGACTCTGGCACCTTGAATTCCAAATGAAATGCAAAATTTGCTTTCATCCGAAAAGAAGTACTTTGGACCACTGAGCAACAGTCCAGTGCTGCTTCTCTGTAGCCCAGGTCAGGCGCTTCTGCCACTGTTTCTGGTTCAAAAGTGGCTTGACCTGGGGAATGTGGCACCTGTAGCCCATTTCCTTCACACGCCTGTACACGGTGGCTCTGGATGTTTCTACTCCAGACTCAGTCAACTGCTTCCGCAGGTCCCCCAAGGTCTGGAATCGGTCCTTCTCCACAATCTTCCTCAGGATCGGTCACCTCTTCTCATTGTGCAGCGTTTTCTGCCACACTCTTTCCTTCCCAAAGACTTCCCACTGAGATGCCTTGATACAGCACTCTGGGAACAGCCTATTCGTTCAGAAATTTCTTTCTGCCTTACCCTCTTGCTTGAGGGTGTCAATGATGGCCTTCTGGACAGCAGTGGGGTCGGCAGTCTTACCCATGATTGCAGTTTTGAGTAATGAACCAGGCTGGGAGTTTTTAAAAGCATCAGGAATCTTTTGCAGGTGTTTAGAGTTAATTAGTTGATTCGGATGATTAGGTTAATAGCTCATTTAGAGAACCTTTTCATGATATGCTAATTTTTTTAGATAGGAATTTTGGGTTTTCATGAGCTGTATGCCAAAATCATCAATATTAGAAACAAGAAATGGCTTGAACTACTTCAGTTGTGTGTAATGAATCTAATATATATATGAAGGTCTAATGTTTATCAGTACATTACAGAAATTAATGAACTTTATCACAATATGCTAATTTTTTGAGAAGGACCTGTACCTTCTAAATTTTAGTCCCGGTTTAGGAAGTACTTCTCAAGCACTACTGCTTTAACCAAGCTTGTTAATGA